CAACAGGACTAGTTTTTCAGAAATTCCACCGGGGCTGAGCGATCACAGCCTTATTTGGTGGTGATGGTGGTGGTGGTGGTGGTAGTAGTAGTAGTAGCAGCAGCAGCAGCTGCAGCAGCAGTAGCAGCTGCGGCGGTGGCAGCAGTAGTGCGTAGCAAGTAGTTGTCGTCCTTCTTGTTCTCGACGGTGTCTTTGTCGTAGTAGCTGTAGCTGCAGTGGCAGTACTAACATATTATCTTATTGTTCAACAAACTCGTGCGCCTGTCTTCGGATGGCTTTCTTCAAAGTCCTTGCAGCAGCTTCTCTGACACTGGTACCCCGCAAGCTTGGGAACATGTCCACCAACATGTAGGGAAAGGCAGGATCTCCTTAGCTTCCGATTCACAAACTCCTCCGTCCGTTGCCCAGGAGGCACCTCCAGGTGTGGCCCGGGATACTTCTTCCTTTCACAGCATTCTGTATCGAGGACCCTCCGCTACCTCGAGCTCTCCGAGAAGCGGATGGTTGACCGAGCGGGCCTGACCAACAAGACCATTTTGTCAAGTGCTCGGCACAAAGGGCGAGTGGTTGCCGACGAACACGTCTTTCACTTCAATCAGCACGAGAGTCTAGGTTTGAAAATAATGCAACGTCGCAGTCCACGGTGGCAAGGATGATAGAGTAAGCTTCAAGACCCCTGCCTGTCGCAGCTTGCCCGTGATCACGATGTCAGGCTAGGTAGTGTGGTGGCTATGGAAGGGTCAGCATGCTTGCTTCCTTCCTGCACTAGACTGTTCAACAAACTGCATATGGCCTGCTGCATGTCCTCGTCCTGCGGCTCTTCGCTAGGCTGGCGCGATCGTGCTAGCACCTTCCCAGGCAAGCACAGAAACGAACAACTGTTTCTGGCACTCGCTTGGGCCTGCCGTGCTTCGGCTGCTGCCTGCTTCGAGGTCACCAGTGCAACCTGTTCAGACGCGCAAACCTGCGACCCGGCTCCAAATTCCAAGCCTAGACCGCCGAGACCCAGACCTTGGGCTTCTGCTTCTCCTTGCGGGCCTTGCTTGGGGCTGGGGCTGCGGGCGTTGGAACGTCCTCATTCCCTGCGTCCTTGGGCCGCCTGGGTTTCTTGGCCATCTCGGCAACGGCAGCAACGGCAGCTGGGGGGACTGGAGGGTACGGGGGCAATTGCTGCGTTTTGGGTGGGGTCTCTGCATGTTTGCCCGCAGAATCTCCTGAGTCTCGTACCCTCCGCCTTTTCTCTGCGGGCGCCACCGGGGCCGCGGAATCTGGCAGTGCCGCCATTGGCACACTCGACTGTATCGGCGGCCGCTCATCGCTTCCGGTCACAGTGACGCAGACTTCGTCATCGTCTCGCAAGACGTCGGTGAGGCGCAGCGTTGGAAGCAAGGCAAAGCCACCAACCCTCAAGACCAGCGAAGTCGCCTGCTGTGGCAGGCGAAGGTGGAGATGCCTCACAAAATCTGCCACCAGCTCCAGCTCGCGTGGCACTCGAAGCAGAAAGCGCAAGCTGCCAGCGGAGGCATCGCAGGACACGCGCACACGCATAGTGACGATCCGGAGCTTTACGAATGTTTGTCTCGTCTTGGGCACGCTTTGCTGTATGTTCCTGGCATCAAGCTGCAGTAAAGTGTCTGCTTGTGCCACACTTCTGCGCCAAAAAGACTCACTGTCGTTCGAGTGAGGACAAGCAGGGTAATGCAGCTGAGTGAGGTTTGTGTTGACTGCATACTGCGAGGCCATTTGAACTGTAAAAGCTGAAGCCTGGAGCGAGATCGCTGCCGTGCTATGCTAAGCAGGCAAGCCTCGTCTTGCTGTGGAACCACACTCTGGCCAAGTGTCACTGAAGTCATCACATGTAAACAACACATCTCATGTCCTTACAGGCCCTGCACTCTCCCTCGAATCTTGAGCATCTGGGCCTTCCCACAGGCAGAGCTAGAAGACTTGGCCTTGGCAGCACACCTCAGGTCCCAAACGTAAGCTTGTGTGACACCTAAAGGGACCTACAGGCTCACCTTGAAAATATCTCCTTACATCTGCAAAGCATGGTTAGAGATCCAGGCCACTGTGGTCCCAAAGCCTAGGCCCCTCGCAGTAGAGCCATGTCCGCGTTGAGCCGCGCCTCCTTGGGGCTACTGCGGACCTGATCAAGTTATGTGATGCAATGAAATCACAATGGTCTTGCGTGCACACACACACACACACAACTCCTGTCAGCAGCCGGAAAAAATGCGTGCAATGGTCCGACATGCAGGTATACTGTTGCATCCACGAAGCCACGAGGCAACTGGCTTTGAGGCCTTTTGCAGGGAACCAGGCCTGGCCGTCCGACTCGGAACCGCTGTCGCTGACCTCGGCACCTGACTCAAGCACGAGGTGCTTGTTCCTCTCTCGCAATCGTCTTTTGCATCCTTTCCTGAGATCTTGGAGGTACTAGGTGTTAGGCATGAAGGGGGCTCGAGACGAAATGGCCTAAAGCTGAAGAACTGCTCACCAGAGTTCGTTGCGGTGGCAGCACGCCGGAAAAAAGCCGTCATGAAGAACTCATCCAACTCAGCGGGCAAGACCAGCTTTCAAGGGCCGTGCCTGCAGCACCGCCGCTGCTGATGCGCTCCAGCCTGCGATGATGCCGCGACAGCGATAGCAGTTAAAACACTTGCTGCTCGGTCGAAGGCTTGCGCAGACAAGCGAGAGTCGCAGGCTTTTGAGTATCTGAGCCATCAATACCAAACAACACAGGGCTCTACCCCTGAACAGCAATGCTGGGCAGCAGGTTACGAAAGAAACTCTGCTCTGTGTGACTTACTTCAGCCGGTTGGGCTGAGAATGCCAGCGGCAAGCTCATGAGGCACCCAGCTCTCGGGTGCAGACTGCAAGGTCAGCGGCCGCACCTTCAGGAGGGCCTGCACAGCTTAAGTCGGAAGAGGTCCGCCGCATGGAGTCACATCCCTCTTGTAAACGCTGGGAAGGCGTGAGAAATCACCTCATAGCGTCGCATCAGAGCTTCTTGCAACCAAGTCCAGACCCCATCTAAACGCTATGACGAGTCGTATTGCGAACACAACTGCAAACCATGGATGTTGAGTCCGATACGCATTTGAAGGGTTTTCATGATCAAGTACAGTTTTTGCATGTGTTTGCATCGCTGACCCATATAAATATAAAATATAAACACCATGACAAATCCCATGGAGATGCTCGATTTCCCCAGCTCAAGACAAATATCAGCGACATCTCAATGCGTCGAAATCAGTTCTTCGCTACGTAGACGCTCGACTGCACAAGCACCCTCTCAAGACAAACACGAGCGATATCACAACACATCGAAACCAGCCATTCCCCGGTTGCAGCCGGAACCAATGGATCCAAATGCGCACCCCGGTCTGAAACAGTTGATGTTTGGATGCATGATGCATGCCAAGCCCGGTTTCGAAATGCAAAACCCCAGTCTGGCCACTCAACCGGCTTATTTCAGATACGGTTCCGACATGTAAAACCCCTGTGGATGTTCAGCCCATTCATGATTGAATGCATGCCAAGTCTTAACCCCAGTGTGGATGCCGACAAGTATGTATACTCACTCAGCGATACGACAGTAGATACCCCAACAAGATGCGAACCTAGGTCCCTGTGTCAATTATTGTTAAGAAGGCATTTCATCTGCGGAAGGTGGAACCGATCCACCGATATTGACTGCTGGTCCCCATGTATTGCGAGGTCACGAACAGGACGCGAGAACCCATCTAAAACAACCACCACACAAAAACTTCATGGCTACTTGTGAATGTTGCCTCATCAACTGGATACTGCTAGGATATGGTGAGTCTCATGTAAACACGGAGGTGATACGACTTCACCCCTTAAAAATACGACTTGCTACAAACTATCCCCGTGCAGTGAGCAATGCAGGTGCCTTGATCTCTTCCCGGCTTGGCTTCCCAACAGGTGCCTCAGTTCTTCTCGATACCTACTCTCCTATCGTAATGGGACAAGCCAGGCTGGTGTCCACTTCTAGTGAGTGGGCTGGGCGACAAGCCCCATTGATGGTGACGAGGATGTCACCTGCACGCCTCGGACAGGGACCGGACCTGTCTTAGACTAGGGCCAGGCTCAATTACGAGGTGCAGTTTCTGTTGCAGTGCACCAGAACCCAAGGTATTCTCATGCCACTGATGTTGAAGGTCTCGTTTCTGGCAGGCCAGAGTGAATCGTCTGAGATGCCGGCACTCCCAATGCAATCGCAGCACCACCTCGTCGTCGTGAAAGCTTTTGCCGGACTACAATACGCCGGGCTGTTTCTGCAAACAAAATGTGAGTGCTAACCACTCTGTCCCAATCGCCTACAGCACCCTAATCAAGTGCGACACTGGCTCCTGGTATGACGCTCCCCACAGGAACACATCACTTTGTCGATTTCATTGGTAAGACTTGAGATTTTGTGTGCATTCTACCTTCGGTGTATGACTCATGTCCAGTTTGCCAGGCCTTGCGTCGGATTGCAGTGACAACGGAGGCTGAAAGCTGATGAATGAAGCTGAAGCTCTGACTGCAGCACTCTCGTAACCTCCACGTTCAACATTGAATTTCAGTGCATTGCAAAGTCATATTTTTCTCAGGCCCCAGCCAGGCTTGACGCCCGAGACGTGAGGCCGATCATCCTTTCCAAGCAGCTGGGTTCAAATTGACATGGGAAAGGGGAGGGAGGGGAGGACAGGAAGGGAAGAGGACCATCTTACCAGTAGAGTCAGTAGAGCAAAGCTCTCAGGGGCTGGTGCAAAGTTGCTGGAATATGGTTGGCCAGCTGAAGACAACTCACACCCTCCATGAAGCCTTTACAACAAAGAGCTTGTCGACACTAGTCAGCAGCTACTGTTCACCTGAAGGGAATTCCTGTTGAGAATCGTGAAGTTTTTCATGAACATGCTGTGAGACCTCCTCCAAGCCGAGCTCGAAGCCAAGCTTTTTGACCTCTCAAAAGGGCTTCGGCCACTAGCAAACTAGGGTCCTGGCAGCATCCCTTAATAATCTGAGACAGTTCTGTACGTCCTCGACTAAGGAAACATTGCCGTCACAAAGGCTCTAGGTCTCTTCGGATTTCTTTGGTGATGCAACCTGCTGCAAGGCGGAATAAGGCGGAGGACCTTCTCGTCGAAAACGACTTCGAAGGCCTCAGACAGAAAAGCGGCGGATATCCAGGGCGTGGAACTACAGTAACTGTGGGAAGATGAGCTTGAAACTGCAAGCTTCCTGCTAGAACACTCTGAAAACAGGGTGGACTGAGACTGACACCATGGAAGCTCCAGTTCGGCTCAAGGCCAGGAGGGCATGCGCCGGCGCGCCATGGAACGAGAGTTGCGGGTTGCGGGGTGCGCCAGGAGTGTCAAGGAGTGGAAGTCGAGGTTGAAACTACGGGGACCTCCGGGCGATGGCCATGGCAAGGCCCAGTTGGCTGATGGTCTGACGGCTTAACGCAGCTATACGACCGCTTACTGTACTGGGGGTTACACATGACTTTCTGCTTTACAGATTTGTTCCCGACTCCGGACAGCACGCAGACTCAACAAAGACTCCAAATCTCTGCTTCAATTGCCTCGGGGTTGAGTGCTGCCCTCTGCTGAATGTTTCGCTGTTGCTGCCACACATCTTGACATGGATGGATGCTGAAGGTCACTCGGACACATTAGCTGGGCTTTCAGGTTCTGGAGGTACTTCGGAGCTAAAGGTCGAGTGTCTCTAAGCCTCTAAGCTATGCTGACACGGATGTGGCAAAAGGGTAGCAAGGTTTCAGATCGCCAGCGAAGCGAGCGGCCGGTTGCGTCCAAGTAAGCACTCGCCATGCAACACTCGTCGAGGCAGCAGAACCGTGTCCTATATGTGGCAAACTCCGAAGCAGTGCGCCATCCCAGACCTCCACAGGCCGAGCCATCAGAGCGGTGGCCAGCACAGTGGCTTCCAAAAGCCTCGCCAGGTCAGAATATGCTTCCCTGCACTGCCCTGCACCCCTGCACCGTTCTCACAGGTGCGCAACATTGCTGAGGATACTCAACTGCGAGGCTTCAGGGGAAAACTTGTTCGTCTAGCTGTGTTGCTTACAAGGTGATTACCACGTGCAGCAGCTTCACGCGATCCCCTCGCGATGGCGTCGTGGTAAAAGCTACTGAACGAAATATGAAAACAAGTCATGGGTTCCTCTCAGGTCTTGAAATCCATGAGAAACCTGCGCTCTAATTCTATAATTACTCTATACACATCCAGGTACAACAACTGATACTGTGCCTAGACATCGTGAATCTTGAATAGGGGATGATGCTCAGGCGTGTTGTGGGCATGCCTGAGCCACGGGAGGTATAGAAGCCTTGCAAGTTGCACGCATCTCGCTCGGGCAGGCCGTAGCATCCGCGCAGAACATTTGCGCCTGCAGCGGATGTCAGGCAGAATCTTGACGAAGTCTAGAATCAAAGCTTCGAACTTGGATACCTCAGACTCCAAAAGCCCAATACTGCTTGTGCCTGACACGACGGCCCTCAAACTTGCCCAGATGACCTGGGTTCCAAATCAGCAACGCCTCAAAATCGCTTCCCAGCTGGCCCGACGGAATATGCTCTTCTGCTCTGGTGTATCTGTTCTTGTTGGGTATGCATCGTTTGCTCAGTCGTTATTCCTGTGCTACCCTGTCCAAACTACGCAGTCGCCTCTTGGACACGAAGCCCTGCAGTGCCACACACCACAGGCCTCCCAAACCTGAGGACGTCCCAGCATCGTCCGGCTGGCCCGGATTGCACTTCATGCGAAGCAATCCAGCAAGACCATTACCGCCAAGACGGCGGCAATGATGGCAACGGCCAAGGAGTCTGTCGATCTGACTGCTGCGTTGGTCGTTGGCCTTCTGGTGCAATGGTCGCGTGGTCAATCGTTCCATGCATGTTTCGGGGCCGATTTCTCTGTGGTGCTGGTCAAGATGGTGGCCACACCTGGCCCTTGATGTTCTGATCACACAAAAAACATCAGGATTCATGTCAATCCTAGTTCCTGGTTTCGTCGTAACTTCGCTGCTTACTATGCTGCGCACACCTAAGAGGGACATGCGCAGTCCTGCACTTAATTTCGTTTGCCCGTACCCAAACGGCAGTGCAAGAACATTCCCTACCCGAAGATCCCGAAGGCAGCTAGCAAAAACCATGCTGCGACAACCACAGTGCTTCGAAGTTGTAGTTGCCGCTCCCTCGTCTCAACCAATAAGCTACTCCCACAACTCTCAACTTGAGGAGGTGTCTGGATTGCACATTTAGGGAAGTCCTGCGCGCCTCTACTACGCCGCCAATGCAAAGGCGCCGCCGAGCGAACGTTTAGCCAGGCATGCTGCAGCGCTATCACTTCTAGGAGCCCGTGCTTGCCAGTGACGAACTCACAAGCTGCGAATGTAGCGCATTTGCTACTCGTGCGAGAACGAAGCACTTTCACTTCTATTCGCCCTCGTTGAGGGCAAAAGGCCAGCATGGATTAGGAACCGGACCTTTTCTGTGACACATTGAGACAAGCCGATTGACTGAGTCTGTTACCCCTGCGGCAACTACCCACCCGCAGCTTCTGTAAGCGATGCAAGGCGCTTTGGGCAGTGCGCTGGATCATATGCTTCTGTTCCGTCATGCCATGGAAGGATGCGCAGGGCCCAAGCAAGTGATCATGGACAAGCTTCGCTTGCCCGAGGCAAACTGAGTCTGAGAGAAACTTTCCGTGAAGCCCTAAACAGTACCCGAGATGTTGCCCTTCTGCATGGCGTCCGTCGTACTCGCGGCTACTTTCTAATGCTCTACTGACAGGTCTAAACAAGGGCTTCACCCGCGACCATCTGCACAACGAGCTGCAAGCATTCCTGCTGCGACCGCATTAGCGGCAATGTGCTGCATCTAGCAGCTATCACACATCATCTTGTCCTTGCTGGTCACTGGAACGCTCTCTATCTGGTGGCGATACACTCGCCAGTTTTCGGCGGGCATGTTTTCCGGACAAAGAGGAGACAACTCCTCGATTAACCCGAACTCCATGCAAGAAGTCCAGGCTGCTGCTTGCGCTCCCGTCCATGCATCGTGAATTTAACGCACCGACACGAGACAGCGCAGGCTGCAAGCTTCCGTGCCATTTGGCGCATTGAGTTAGGTAGGCTGTAGCCAATGTAGCCGCAGGCTACCTTGGGATACGCCCTTGCTTCACATCACTCATTTCAAACCCGAGCCGCACCTGCCTTGGAAGGCAAAACCAAACTCCGCTGGCCTTCCTCACATTTCCGGAAGCTTGACAAGCTTCAGTGGAAACAGTGTTGGGCTGGGCATCGCACCAGGTAGCATATCCAGCAGGGCCGGGGTGTCTAATCCTGAACGTCTAGCTTCCTCAGGGTATGTGGCGGTGCGGTTCTAGCTGGCGAGATGTAGGACTAACCACTGCGCCTCGGCATGTCCAGGATATTTGTCGAGATGTATTCCGCCACGGAAGCGGTGTTCAACATCACATCTGCGTGTGCAGAAACAGCGTATCCAGCGACATGCCGCGGCTTGCGATACGAGTGTTCCAGGAATGCCTCCTCATCCACCCACCACAGTCGTGCTTGTCTGTTTGTTGGCTGCATGAAACGCTCTACTACTGCCAACTTGGCTCTTAGTGCCGTTTTCAATCAGCTGTGTTGCACTACTGCTACACTTGTTGCCAGTATGACGTTTTTTCTTCTGCTGCCTGGCAAGCGTCGGTACGACTGTTCATGCTGTTGATGCCATCACTACTCAGTTTTGATGGGCCCTATTACAGCACTGACGTTGATTGCGATACTGACGGCTGTGATGGTGGTGGAGATGACAGCATAGCAAAATCATGATGATGGTGATGAGGAGAACGAACACCGTGCGTGACCCAGGGTCATCGTCATCATCATATCGTCATTTTCATCATCATTACGGCGTCATCAGCATTATCATCAAAAAAGCAGAATGCCGCCATGGCCTTTTTCAACCGACATCTTCAGCTGCCATCATCATCGCCACCATTGCTCTTGTCAGCACTATTTGCCTTTATCATACTATCGCCTTCTTAATCATCACCTTCTGTGTCGTCTTCGGCATTTTAGCCCGCACTGTCGCAGTGAAGGCTATCGACACCGATGACATCAACAGCATCACCAAGGCAATTATCATCACAGCCCGCATCGCGAAAGTCAGCATCACCACCTTCGTGAAAGTCAGCATCACCACCTTCGTGAATGCAATGCATACTCATTTTGGTGACCAGCCCTCCCAACATCATCGCCATCAACAACAACATCATTATCATCATCATGATTAATCATCATCATGATGGCGTTGCGATCATCTTCAACTGCTTCATCGCTATGATCACGATGACTATGTTGCTCCTCTTGCTAATCACGAGACTGCCGTGATGCTGATCATCCTCACCAGCACAACATACATAATGTTAAGCATGATTGCCTAGTCATGGACGGACCAGAATCACAACCGTCAGTCTTGATGCGCTGCTTTGTAAAGCCTCCCATCGTAGTACTCTGGGGCTTTTTGCAGATTCTGCAACAGTGATCCATTGTTCTTTTATCTTGTTGCGAGTTTAATTAGGGAGGCATGCCCAGGCAAGTCTGGAAGATTCATCTGGCCGCCGCTAGCATTGTTGTGGGTGGCAGGGTATTCGTCACCGCTTAACCATCTTTTCGTAACTCGAGAGTATACCCCGTCCGCCACAGTCTTGTTTTCGCAGTTTTCCTGAACTCCACTCAGGAATTTTCAAAATGCTTTTGTCTATCTTAAATCAGAACAGACACCTGACTTGAAGGAGACTCCTCCAAGCGTGGCCCCATTGATCTGTACATGCATACACTCCAAGGCAGTCCCATGAATACCGCGTATGCACTAGCAGTGTACACGAAAAAAAGTCAATGCAGAGCTCGATCCTGTTTTAGGATGTCTGCCTGTCCATGTATGTCGACCTTGGTGCGTGCGTACATGGGTACATACCGACGTACATACATATATGCATGCATGCA